TAATCCATTCAAAAAATGGGCAAAAGAGCTAAAAAGAAACTTCTCTGAAGAGGAAATGCAAGTGGCCAACAGGCATATGAAAAAATGTTCAACATCACTTGTAATCAGGGAAATGCAAATCAAAACTACCATGAGATACCATCTTACACCAGTGAGAATGGCACATATTAAAAAAAACTAGCAACAACAAATGTTGGCGAGGTTGTGGAGAAAAAGGAACTCTCCTGCACTGTTGGTGGGAGTGCAAACTGGTCCAACCACTATGGAGAGCTGTGTGGAGATTTCTGGACCTACTAAACATAGAGCTTCCATAGGATCCAGCAATTCCACTCCTAGGTATTTACCCAAAGGACACAGAAACTTCAATTCCAAAGAGCACCTGCACCCCTATGTTTATAACAGCACTATTTACAATAGCCAAGCTTTGGAAACAACCCAAATGCCCAAAAATAGATGACTGGATCGAGAACATGTGGTACATATATACCATGGAATATTACTCAGCATTCAAAAAAGATAAACACATGCAATTTGCAGCAACATGGATGGCGCTGGAAGGGATCATGCTCAGCGAAATAAGCCAAAAAGAAAAAGAAAAATACCGGATGGTCTCACTCATAGCAGGAATCTAGAAAACTTAAATAAGGGACCAGGAAAAAGAATAACTATAAGAAAGAAAATATCAAAATCAACAAACAACTATGAACCAGAGACACTCTATGTGGGTGTGGGAGGCAGGGAAAGGAGGGCTTGGGGTAAAAATAAGGGGGTTGTAATTGTATGGGGAATATAAAAAATAAATTTTAAATAAAATGTGAAAAAAAACAAACAAACATGTCTGGTTATAGTTGAAGAATGACACTTAGGTTAGAATGCTTTATGATAGGGATGACTTTGGAGAGTCTGTCTCCAACAACCATGGAAACAATGTCAAAGTAAGTAAATTGTGCTACAGCAAACCAAAAAGCTTCTGCAGTGAAAGAACAGAAACCCTACTGACTGGGAGAAAGTTTATTTTGCACATCACAGGTCCAACAATGGGCTAACATCTAAGATCTACAAATGTCTATACAACTCAGCCAAAAGAAAATAAAACCCAGTCAAAAAGGAACAGGCAACTTTAAACCAAACAAACCCTAGATATCCAGTTTTAGAGTTGAGGCTACCAGGGTGGAGGATCTTGGGATGTTAGGAGCAAAGGGAGAAAGATACCCAGTGGACCATGGTGGAGGACTATGGGTGCTTTGGTGGTAGGTATGTTGTGGCAACATACATCTGAAGAGCTCTGATACTCTAAAATCATATATACTGTTTTAAACCAGTATTCCCTCATATAAAATAATACAAAAATAATTTGATAAAAAGTTATGTTATGTTAACCTTTTCTCATCTTAACATTTACGTAGATATTTTTCAAGATACAGTTTGTTGCTGCATTAAAATATGCTGCATTTTGATGCAATAATAAATCATTCTTGAACTCTAGGTGCTTTAATATATATTTTATTTTGTTAGGTCTGCTCCACTGGGGTTTCTGTGATCCTCTAGATCAGCTTTCTTTCGAGCAGTAGTCTGTATCAGCAAATATTTCCCTTGTCATTTTCTAGAATTAATCTGAAATTTTCCTTTCAAAGTTCTATGTTTATGCTTTGCTTTGATTAATGAGATATAATCAATTTTCTCTTTTGTACTTCACACTTTTCTTTCTGTTAGCTGTGGCACAAGTTCATCCAATATAATCTACTTTGGATATCTATAAAATAAAGTGCTCCACAAATTATTTTCAGCCTAAGATATCACATGTAAGATTTCTCTGTGGATGTAACTGTAAGAATTTTTACATCTCCAGTTTAGGCAGAAAATAGTATTTTATACTGGAAGAGCCCAGATTTCAATGTAAATGAGTCCCCTGAAATTATGCAAATAAGCACTTTTAATTTGGGGTTGAGTCCTGCTTTAATTACTCTCATTCTTCAAAAAACAATCATTTCTTGTTAATTTATCTTTTGCATTAATAAATCTACATTGATTACAATATTGGGGATTAAACTGTACATTTTGAACATAATGTAGTAGAAATTTTCATTGGAAGAAGTATCATTTATTCAGATATTGACTTTTTATGACTGAGGATCTGTTACAAAGATTAGAAAGCAGGGAGCAGGTTATTCCTCAGCTCACATTATGACTACAAGACAATTATGGATTTGGTTAGTCATTGTTCTTCAAGTGTAAATAGATTGTGTTTTAATCTCTCTCTTCTCATGAATTCTTAGCCAATATTACAGTTTGGGTAAGAGCGTCTCATGGCATTTTCTCACGTCTTAGTTCCTAAGGGTGCAGGTGAAAGGGTTTACCGTGGGTTGCGGCCATTGCTTTATCATTGGAGAAAGTGATCATACCAGTTACCTGGTATCCACAGGTGGAGACAGTCTCCCAGTGCCCTTCTGTGCTATGGATTTTCATGGACAAAGAATGAGGCCATTGGAAATGGTAGGTATAGGAAAAATGAGCATACTCACCAGCCCACTGTTGGTGGCAGCAAAAAGTAAAAAGATGGTAGTGTGAGTAGAGGGGTGATTTAGCAGAGGGAAAGATCACAGATGAATTCATCAATGACATTGTGATATTAGGACAACCAGACTATAAAGTGAATGACTGAAAGATTGAATCTTCCCCAGGCTCAGCCCCAAGCCCTGGTCACTAGGAGGCTACTCATTGTGATTATTTCATTCAGGGGTTTAACGATGTTTTATTAATGTTCGTATCTTGTGGGTAATGTCACTATTATGTTCAAATAACAAAATGTTATTATTTCTACAGTTTGAGGCTCAGAATAAAGACAGAGGGAAATTTTGTTCATAAAATTACTGCCTCCAAACAACAGAAAACGAATACTTAGGTCAGAATTTTATCCACACAGTGTGTTTGTTGAAAATTAGCTATCATATCAGCATCATCAGGTCATTTTCATCATGAGCAACATTATCATCATTGTTTTTGTTTTGTTATCCTATTCCATTCCACATTTCTTGAGAATTAAACTAGATCTTTAAAAGATGAATTTTATTATTTTATCAGCATAAAAAACCTTTACGCACAGTGTGATCTGACCTGGTTTAAAGCCTCAAGAACACGAGAAATGTCAGTGGCACATATTATTTGAATCCTGGGTGAGAAATCTCTTTCTACATGTTTCTGAGCTCTTCCCCAGGAATCACAAGCTCTGCACAGATTGGTCTTCCAGTCTCTGGCCCTGGGTGCTTCCTTCTCCTCCTTCCACAGGACCAGATGGGACAGGAGCCATCATAGTGAGAGCTTTTCTGCTCAGGCATTTCACAGTTGCTCCAGCCAGTTCCTGCACTGGTTGCTGCAGAAATTTTCAAGGGCGTTTCTCCTAGAATAGAGAATTGTGATGGGTGAGCTCTTGATGTCCAGAGGCCTGCTCACTGGCCCCATTGTTGTGATAATAGCTCACCTCTCTGCTTTCCCTACTTGTAAGGGGTTGTATTCATTAACAGATTTTGAAGTGATGTGTTGCTAGGACACACATTTGCCTCCCATGATAATGGTGGTGAAGGACAGTAGCAGTGACATGGGCTCTTCTGTCAGGGTCTGTGGTCCCCCACACTCCTTAGGCCTGGTGATGTCGGTGAAGGTGATACAGTGTTTGAAAGTTTTCATCTGTCTCATTTTCTCAATGTGAATCAATTTTATAATTTGAGGAAGTCTATAATTTTATTTCCTTTTTACTGATGAAAAAAGCAGGTGGAGAGGTGAAGTAACATGTTTATAATTAAAGGCTAATTAATGCTAAGATGAGAAATCAAGCCTATGTGGTGCAAAGTCCTTTACTGTGACTTCTAAGCCTCAGACTCTTTCCAAATTTTTCAAAATTTCAGTTTGTTCACAATATGGTTTCTTTAATTCAGATGGGTCATCACTGTTGTGCATTTTCATGATACAACTTGTTAGCTCACTAGTAATTTCTTCTCAGCTATTTTGTCTTTAGAACCTTTTCTTTTGTATCTGAAACCAGACTTTAATGTACAGATATCTCCTGCTAAACTCTCCAGACTATCAGTCTTATTTTTGTGCCAATTCTGCTTCCAACTGTCTATCTAGACACTTGTATAACAGGAAATGTGGACTTATAATTTTTAAAAAGTACTTTCTGTATGTGAGTGCTGTGTTCTTGGCATTGTGATTATTAAAACGTTTTCCATATGTGATGGGAAGACATTTTTAAACTTTCAAACTGAGGAGGGTTAGAAAGAACACTTTGATAAATGTACTTCTTGAAGATCATTTCTCTACTATTTTATGCTTCTTTGATATATACTTTTTGCTTTCAAAATAAAATTTGTTTAGCTGTAGTGCTGGCTACAGTATTCAGAAATATTTCTGTTGAGGGTTTCATGTCCATTATCAGAGCAACACTGCGACTTTTGTGGGTTGTGGGTACTTTTGTTCTCATAGGTCCTTTTCTCTCAAAATAATAAATATTATATCATGACTGCATTATTATAAAATGACTATAAGCCAAGTTGGATTTAGATTATATTCTTCTCTGCTTATTTTGGCCTTTGTATTCATGGTCATCTAACTTATTTTATGGTGCCATTTTTTTTACTGCAACATAGTAATAATAATAATTTAATAGTATATTTGTAAATTTTTTCTTTATTTTTCTTTTTTTTTCATACATCATTGTTAATTTTTGCACAGTGCTTGGTTTCTCCCCCAGGTATAGTCCCCATAGTTTTCTCACCACCACAGCACCGGTGACCCATCACCACAGTCTGGTGTTGTCTTCCTTCCAAAACTCCCCTGTTTAGACCACTCTCCCTCTGCCTCCCCCACTGATACCTCAGACGTATGGTCAGCGTGCAAGCTTTGTCTTTTTTTAGATAAGAACTTTGGTCATCAGGTTTCTTTACCAGACAGTTTTCTTGATATTTAAATTACATATTTTTTCCTTCATAAGAAATAGGTAATTTTTATTTATCTTCAGTTTTAATTAATTGCCCCAACATTTTCTTCATGATGTTTTTTACTTCTGCATTTCTGAGGGTGTAGATCAAAGGGTTCAGCATAGGAGTTACTATGGTATAAAATACACTCACAGCTTTGTCAATGGGGAAGGAGATCATAGGTCTTAGGTACAGATATGAACAAGGTACAAAGAACAAGATGACCACAGTGACGTGAGAGGCGCAGGTAGACAGGGCTTTGCGACGCCCCTCAGCACTGTGGTTTCTCAGGGAGTACAGGATGTAAATGTAGGAAGCAACGAGCAGAGAAAACGTGAGCAAACACATTGAGCCACTGTTGGCAGTAATGAGGGGTCCCAAAGTATGGGTGTCTGTGCATGCTAGTTTCAAGAGAGGAATTAAATCACACAGAAAATGGTCAATGACATTGGGGCCACAGAATGGTAACTGGACTATGAAAAAAATCTGGATCCCTGCATGAATAAACCCTAAAACCCCTGCCATTGCCACCAGGAAAATACACACAGGTCGGCTCATGATGGTCATGTAGTGCAAAGGCTTACAGATGGCCACATAGCGGTCATAGGCCATGACCACTAACAAGATGATCTCGGCTCCAGCAAATAAATGTTCAGTGAAGACCTGAGTCATGCAGCCATTGAAGGATATGGTATTCTTTTCAGAGATCAAGTCAAAGATCATTTTGGGTGTTATGGAAGTAGAGTAGAAAGTGTCTACGATGGACAAAAAAGCCAGAAAAAAGTACATGGGACAACCCAGGGCTGGGCTGATAAAGATGGTGGTGGAGATGAACAAGTTTCCTGTCAATGTGATTAAGTAGGCAATTAAAAATGCAGTACCTAAGATTTTCTGCAATTCTGGATTCTGGGTCAGACCCAGTAGAACGAATTCTGTTACATTGTTCATCCTTTCCATGGATTCAGGTTGGGTTGAGGCCATTTGGTCCATCTAGAAAGATGACAGTATTCTGAGTGATATTTTTAATTCAGGACTAAAATAATCTATTCTATTTTACCTTCATTCGTGGTCTCTGGGATTGGTGGAGCTATAACTTCCACTCCTGTCATTTTGTAGGGAGTTATATCGATTTAAGGAGGTTAAATTGATATTCATTGAGCAGTGACCACATCTTCCACCACAGTAAAATCAGTGTTGAGTTATGATTGACATCCAAACTTACTTTCCAGCTCTAAAAGTCTCAAAATTGAATTTCTTTTACATGCTGACATAAGTTTCTATAATGACATTTAAAACAGCCTATATGTTGGTATAAATATTAATAGACATATAAATCAGTATTCTTTTAAAACTCAACTGTGTATCAGTTTTGATAGTGCCAAGTCTCATTCTACTCATATCAGCTGTGTTCTTGAATTCCGTTTTTTTTTCTGTTGACTGAATGTGCATATATACACACACCCACAGAGACGGAACTGCAGATGAAAGTTTTTTGCCTTCTAAATGCCTGGGAACTATGCTTATAACAGCTCACTCAGCAGCCATGGATGTTGTGTGGGGCTCAACATGAATTTTTCAGATCTCTTGTTCCACATTGTTGCGTGTTTACATGCACATGGTATAAATCCCCTATGAAGGTCACTGCATTTCTTAAGGTCACTACAGTGTGTGTGTGTGTGTGTGTGTGTGTGTGTATATACATACACACACACACACAATGAAAGCCTAAATGCACAGAAAATATATATAAATATATGTATTTATATATGTATATATAAATTTATATGTATATATTATATGTATTACATGTATATATTTATATATACTATTTTACATATATGTATATAAATATTTACATATATGCATATATAATATAAATATATACATATACACCTATAAATACATATAAATATATATACATATACACACATATATATATTAATGCTCTAGATTGAGATATAATCCTACTCACATTTTACAAATGGAATTAATGAGTAACAAAATTTCCCAGAGTTTCTTGTTGATAAGATGGAAATGTAAGGTCACTTGAGATAATAAAATTTTCCCTGGACCACAGAGTCCCAGGACTTTCCCATGGATTTACAAGAGTTAGCACATGTTACTAAATATCTTGTGTATTATTTTTCCCCCCAGTTTTTTTTTTAGCTTTTCCCAGTCACTGCCAAAAAGCATAACTGTGTATTTTTCCTCCAAATCTGTGGACACAGAAGTCAACATCATGACCTCTCAGTTTCACTAAAAAAAAGGTACAATACTTTTGTTTTGTTTTTAGGAAGCTCAGTCTCTGAGTTGTTCTTTATCCATGGCCTATAGATGGTGACCATGAGTTTAGTCACCCTTAATAAATTCATGAATTTGAACTTCAATATTATGATATGCAAGTCATGAAAAGGGGAGAGAATTTCACATTATTACCCACAGAAGTATACAGAATTAATTTCCTTCGTGAGACTTAAATATTGCACAATGTTGAAAATTTCTCAACAGATAGTGCATGTCTGGCCACAGTACTGATGGTTGTTTCTATTGCTAAATCGTGTCACTGTGTCCAAATTCATTTTTAGAGGAAAGGCCATCTTTGATGAACAAATCTAAACACAAAAACAGTTTCAGTGAAAGGCAATTGGCTAAATTAAGTTAACCTACTTAAGATTTTGGGGAAAAGAGTTAGTTATTACTGACCTGGATCTAGTTGAGCCACTGTGGATTTCTCAGTTTTTTAATCGAGTCCAGTCCTTGCTTGCTTCCCCTCGGGGTAGAGGACACACAACTGCACACACGCTTGGACGAACAGTGGAACTCTAGGCTTCTCATTTCTTTAGATCACTTTCCCAATCCTGGACCTTGTGGTTTATTTTGATTCCCATGGTCAGTCTGGATTTTCTCAGAAAATGCAACTATTTTACTTAGAAAAATTTAATAGCTCTAAGATTTAATTTCTACTCAATTCATGGATTCTTGTAAAAGTATAAACACATTTTCAAAATAGATGTTTTTCATGTCTCAGCAGCATATTCGATCTAAATTAAAAACAGTGGCGACAATAAAAGATTCTTCAAATCAGGAGACGTTAGTACGTGGAGCTGTGAAGTGTAAACGTGAATCAAATCTACTTGTTTGGACATTGTTTGCTCAAATCAGTTCTGCCAAATTTTTGTTTCTCAAAGAGATCCTGAGAAGTCTGGGAGAGAGTCACATTTATTTCTATGGAAGCCCTCTGTCTAACCCACTCTCCGCTTAGCTGCACCGCCTCCCAGGCAAATCTTCAGCTTGTTGATTCATGGCTCTGCTGCTGTCATTTACTTAAAAGTCTTTCTGTTTAACTCTTTCTTCATTGACTCAGGAGAAGTGTTTAAATAGACTTTCCTGAAGTACAGGATTTGATAATGCATTGACCTCTCCAGTGCTTAGAGGATTAATAATTGGCCCTGTTGTAAGCTTTGCTGAAGCCAAGGTCTTTCATTTACTCCCACTTGGCACACTTCATTAGAGGCCATGTTTGGAAATGCAGTTGAGTTTTGGTAAAACACACGTCTCCTGGCTATTAGTATGAAACCCTGGTAAATTAACTAGGAGTGTTTTATTGTAGGGCTTAGTTACTCATTTTGATATGGTAGATTTGGACAAGGGTACAGAGGCATAGGTCAGAGTTCAGAGATTGGATCTCTGAAAATATGACTTCAAAGTGGTATAGTTACCCTGAGAATGGAAACCCCAGACTTTATGTGCCAGTTTAACTTGGGAAGTTGTGACATTTTTGTAAGTTACTGATAGAGGACATTCAAATGGCAGGATTCCCAGCTATCAAAGTTTAATAATCTAAAAGTCATAGACATAGCAACCTCCTCTGGAGTGAGTACCTAGACAACAGGTTCTCATGATGCATTCAGGCTACTGTAGCCTTTCTTTCTACTCCACAGGAGTGACTCATGGTGACTTAGAGTTAAGTACTAATTGCGTTTGCACAGCAGCCATTGAGAAGATCACTCTCAGTCAAGCACTTGTGTATAAAGACATCCAGAAGGAGAGGGAAAAAACCCTAGAGAAAGGAACCACCACTACAATCTTCTCTGCCTTAGTTTCTGAGGTAATAAAGACATAAATGTAACTGTTCACAATCACCATTTTTAAAATCAGCCTTTATCATAAACCAAAATGACACACTCCCACTAGTTCAGAACCTTAAAATGGAAGCAGTGCCTTTAGCACTGTCTTCAACTTTAACTTTTGCTCCTATGTGCTGCCATGTCATTCACAGCCTGATGCTCCCTTTGGTATTTTTCTTTTTTTAATTGTGATAAATATATGCAATGTGAAATTTATCATAGAACTATTTTAAGTGTGCAGTTTAGTGGCATTAAGGTCATTCATACTGTTTTTCAAACATCACCAATAGAAAAGTCTATTCAGGTCCGTTTTAATGACCACTTTGATAGTTGGGTTATTTTTTCTGTTAAGCTGCATGAGTTCTTTACCTATTTTGAAGTCTTAAGGGTTAATACTATTCCAGTCAAAATCTCAGTAAAATATATGACTTGAGAATATTTCACCATAGCCTCTAGGCTGCCCTTTTACTCTGTTTATTGTTTGGTGGATTAAACCTGTTTAGTTTGATGCAACTCCATCTTCTATTTTTGTTTTGTTGCTTGAGCTTTGGTGTTACAGCCAAGACTTTCACCCAGTCCTACACCACAAATATCTTCTGCTATATTTTCCTTTAGAACTTTCATTGTTTCAGGTCTTATATTTAAATTTTTAATCCACTTGTACATATGGTGGAAGATAAGGGTTCAATTTCATTCTTTTGCATGAGACTTTCCAGTTTTCTCAGTACCATTTATTCAAGAGACTGTCCTTTCCTCATTCCATACTGTTGGCATCCTTGTCAAAGGTCCGTTGATTATATATCCTAATCTATATGTTTGCACAGATACGTATAAATTATATATTTACATATACATATATTTACATATCCATATATAGATATGGATAAAGATATAAATATAGCCTTATACACAGTTTTAGACACACAACACAACACACACACACACACACACACACACACGGTTGCCAGACTCTCTATTATTCCATTGGTCTATATGTCTGTGTGGTTCCACTCTTAAAATTACAAAAACTTTGTAACACAGTTTGAAGTCAGGAAGTGAGATACCGCCGGTATTTTTTTTTTCTTTGCCAAAGATTGATCCTGCTACCTGTGCCCTTTACCGTTTCATATGAACTTTAGATTTTTTTTCTATTTCTGTGCGGATGCCACTGAGATTTTTGACTGGAATAGTATTAACCCTTCAGATTTCATTGAGAAGTGTAGACATTTTGATAATATTAAGACTTACGTTCCATGAATGTGAGATGACTTATTTGTGCCCTTTTTATTATATTCTTTCACCAGTGTTTTGCAGTTCTCTGTTTACAAGTCTTTTGTTAAATTTATTTTGATGTATTTTAATATTTTTTATGATTATAAATGGGATTGTTAATTTTTTGACAATAGTTTGTATATATAAATGTAACTGGTGTATATGTTGATTTTGTATCTTAGAGTTAGAGGGGTGGCTTAGAGTTCTCTATACAGTTCATGACATCTGAAAATAGAGACATTCATTACTAACCCAGTTTGATGATTGATTTCTTTTTTTCTTGTCCTACTGCTCTGGCGAGGGCTTCCCATGTAGTGTTGAATAGAACTGGAAAGAATAAGTATCTGTCTTTGTTCCTAATTAAGAGGAAAAGTTTTCAATTGTTTACTTGATGAGCTGTTGAAGAAATATTTTTCAGTTTTGGGGTATGATGTAATAGTCATTGTGAGCTTGTTACATATGGCTGGTGTGATGTTGAGGTAATTTCCTTCTATTCCTAGTTTGCTGAGTTTTTTTTTTTTTAAATTGGGAATGGGCAGGGAATTTTTTGAGCTGTTT